AGATCCAGTTGCCATTAAAACCTCTCAGAAAAGCCAACCTGCAGGGCACTCATCTTTGTAGCCCCAAGGGACTGGTTCAGGAAGCTGAGTCATGGAGGAGTATGCCTGGGAAGCTGGCCAGCTCTACAGTAAAGCTGTTTGCCAGGCCACGTGCCACCTGTCTCCTGTGGCTCAGGGCCTTCTGGCTGGCAAGCTCCTGTGGGCCAAGGAAGCACAGACCTAACCTGTTCTACCAGGAGGTGGGTCTGAAATGATTTGTCAGGAACTGTCCCCAGGGAAAGGGGGAAATGAGACAAGGCACCTATGTTCCCAGGACCTGGATTTTAGGGACTGTGAGTTATGATCAGAAAATGGGGAAAAGGGCCTTTCTTTACCCTTAAGGTCTCCCATCTCAGTTTCCAGGAGCAGAACTTGAATCATAAAATCAAGTGGGGTTAGTGGAGTTGGGAGATGGGAGGACAGTCAGAGCCAGGGAGGCTGGCTGTTGGGGAAGCCTGGCTTTCCTTAAGGCAGTGGCGCTCTGTCCCACGTAGGCAAGGACCTGCCTGCCCCCTGTCATTCCCTACGGCTCTCGACCAGATGCCAGGCCTCCTCTTTGGTGAGTCTGGAGGAGACTGTCCTTTACGCAGAGGATGAATCTAAGAGAGCCATCAGCCTGACACCTGCCTGTGCCACTGACCTCCCTGACGCCATTCAGCACTTCCAGTCGAAAGGATTTATTCCAAACATATGGTAGAAGGACATGAGAGAAGCTGATAGTCACACAATAAGAGGAATTAACTGCCTTTAAAAAAAAAAAAAGACTCATGTTGGCCTCAAGCAGATCCCTGCGAGACTTCTCTCAGGTTCTGCTCCACGCAATGCGGGTGTGTATGCTTCACACTCGAGAATCCCGGCCGCAGCTCTGATACCCAGCTGGGAGTCCTGCGAAGACCCCAGCCCTTTATTTTGAGTCATTAAATAGAAATCATCCCCTATCACCTCCGAGGGCCTCTTAGGCCTTCCTTTTATTTAATTGTCTGGCCCTTGCAAGCTAAGGCTTTGCTAAAATTGCTCATCTTTCCCTAATGCCTCTCAGGTGGAGGAAGCCTTGACCATCAAAAACACAGACATCGCCAAGGAACTCTGCCTTCCTCCCGTGAAACTGCACTGCTCCAGTAAGTCTCTGCTCTCCGAGATGCCAGCCAGGGCACTCGGCAGTAGTATCAACTTGGTATTTGTGACAGGGTCCTTTTAGGTTAGGGACTCCATGTTTATAACCCTCAGAGGCTTAGAGCCCTGTGGTCTCACATTCATCTCTAAGAGAGTCAAGCCAGGAGAGTAGTGTGTGCCAGGCATCATACTGAGCACTCGATGTGCATAATTTGCAAACCTCAGAAGCATCCTTGAGTCCACAGTAGGTGTCGTTACTCCCCTCTTACAGATTAGGGAGCTGGAGCTTGGGGTTGAGGCACCCAAGCCACATGGCTAATAAGGGGAAGAGCCAGAATTTAAGCCCTAATCTTTGATTCCAGAATCCATGCTGTTTCCAGCAGAGGAGAAAACACCTTTCTCCATAATCTTGTTTGCTGTGTATTTTATCACTTCCTGTCTAGATGCTGTTACCGTCGGGGTCTAGGTCTGTCCATATGGAATGACTAAGCCCTGCTGTGCAATCTCCCCCTCTACACTGTCCTGAGAGAAAGCCCGGATGCCTTAAGACTTACACTTGGCTTTCCAGTGTGGTCTCTGTATTAAATCTAATGTTTTTTCCATCCTCGCTTAACTTTGTCAGGGAAAGAGAATGAGAAACAGTAGCCTTAACGTATTGATGGAGGTTTACTGACCAAATTAGTTAAAAATCGGCAGAGAGCCAGGCCTCTTGCCAGGGTAAGACGCACAGGAGAAGAGCCGGGTGCTGGGTTGGGGACACACTAAGGCAGTCTTCAGGAAGCCTGGTAAGACCTGAGTTCTTTCCACGTGAGCTGGAATTTTAAGTATCCACGACGAAAGGTCATAGCTTGTAAACATTTTCATGGGGTTTCAGAAAAACCCCAGCCTTTTTATGAGGCCGTTTTAGGTACGGAAACCTTTAGCTGATGCTCTCTGCTGTTTGCTTGCTTTCTCCTGACATTCTAGCTCTCTCGATTTTTATTTTTCCCCATAGCCTCAGTTTTAATATTGACTCCTAAACAAAAGTTTTCAAACTTGGAATCTCTAGAGGCCTATGTGGCAAATGCCATCCCATGAACGGCCCGACATGACCTAAGTTACACCAGCTGCATAGCCAGCGTCTCTACCACATTTATCCCAGACTCTCATGGCAGCAGACGAGAACTAACATTGTTGTGTCCCTGCTATGTATCAGACATTTCCTGTAAGTCCCCACACTCTCCCAACAAGACAAGCACAGTAATTATCCCAGTTCTATAGAACAGAAGGTAGATTCCAGAAGGCTAAGGAACTAGCTTAGAATCACGGATATTTAAACTGTAGTCTGTCTCCAAACTAACCCTTGGGAGTGGCTCGGCTCAGGAGGCAGCTGCAGGCGTGCCCGGCTTGCTCCTCTCCCCAGCTCCCTAGCTCAGTTACCCTGGGAAGTTCCCTCCCAGCTCTTAACAGAGTCCGAAGACCATTTCTTTAGTGTCTAGAAACTCAGGCTCTTTTTCCTTCCCCCACTCCTAGTGCTGGCTGAAGATGCAATCAAGGCCGCCCTGGCTGACTACAAACTGAAACAGGAACCCAAGAAAGGAGAGGCAGAGAAGAAATGAGCCATCGCAAAGCCTTAAAGTCACATCAGCCATTTGCCCACCCACCATGCAGTCACCTTAGACGTTCAGAAGCCCCCGGCACCACATAAAAGAGCTATGAGACACGCACAAGGTTTGCTGTTCACATTGTGACTCTAATGAAAGCAAAATACACAGTTTAATTGTTCCGAATCCTGCAATTTCTTTCAGCCCATGTTATCGCCTTAACCCAGTTTATGTATATTTTGAATTGTGTATGTGGCCTCAGAACTGAAATCAATAATGAAGTCTCAAGTTTTGATAGCCTGTGAAGTACATAAATATCTTAATTTTACCTGAATTGATTTTGGAGAAATTACCAGTGGAATGTCTTAGTGTGATTATTTGACAGAACCAGTTATTGTACATACAACAGATCTGCTTATATATATTATAATAAATAAAAGAATGTAAGACGATGGTCTTCTCTAGTAAGCCTTGTCTCTCGGATGCCTCGCTCCAAAGTGCCCAAAGCCCCGCGGGTTCCCGAAGGCCGGACTGCGATGACACACACAGTTGCCCCAGCAAACTGGATGATAAAGGTCATGGACAGAGATTTCTTTTACAAAGCCAAATACACATAATGTTTTGCAAAAAGAGTGAAAAGTCATGGTCATCATTTTTTGTTGCCTTTTGCGAGTTAACAGATTGACAACTCAAAGTAAGCCTTGAAGATTCTTTTTGTAATTTCACTGGTTTGTGAAATCCTGAAATCTGGGAAACATTGGCTTAGGTGACACCCTAAAGCTACGACACAAATATGTAGAGAGGCCGGCCGCTCACACCTGTAATCCTAGCACTCTGGGAGGCAGGCCAAGGTGGGCAGATCGTTTGAGCTCAGGAGTTCGAGACCAGCCTCAGCAAGAACGAGACCCCGTCTCTACTAAAAAAATATATAGAGAGAAAGAAATTAGCTGGACAACTAAATATAGAAAAAAGCTGGGCATGGTGGCGCACGCCTGTAGTCCCAGCTACTTGGGAGGCTGAGGCAGCAGGATCGCTTGACCCCAGGAGTTTGAGGTTGTTGTGAGCTAGGCTGACGCCACAGCACTCTAGCCCAAGCAACAGAGCAAGACTCTGTCTCAAAAAAAAAAAAAAAAATTACGTAAAGAGCACCTAGGGAATGAGTTTAAAATGCAGATTTCTAGGCCCAAGCTCCTTCTGTCTGGGCAGGTGGTTCCAATGCCCCTGACTTGAGAACCTCCTGGGTTTTGTGTGGTGGCAAATGAGCCAAGCCGTAGGGAAGAAACTTGTCAATTTCTGTTGTGCACGAATATGATACTTCAGTGGTTCATTCTAACTGTCCATACATGTTCAGTGCACCCGAAGTTGTTTAAAAACACTCATCCCTCGCTCAGGCACGAATAGCATTCTAGTTGCTGTCCCTCCTACCCAGATCTCTACCCATTCTGAACTACCTACAGTCACACAAATCGTGGAGGCCCGATTTTCCAGTGAAAACGATACTGAGCCAAGCATGGTGGCTCACACCTGTAATCCCTGCAACTTGGGAGGCTGAGGCGGGAGGATGGCTGGAGCCCAGGAGGTCCAGGCTGCAGTGAGCTATGATAGCACCACTGTATTCCAGCCCAGATGACAGAGCAAAACCCTGTCTCTTAAAAAAAATACTGAAATATCGACTACCATAGTCTCCAATCTCCTTCAACTACAAAAGTAAGATGTGTGTGTTTTTCTGATTTTTTTTGTTGTTGTTGTTGTTCAGCCATAGGCTGGCTGCCTCTCCTCTTAAATATACCTCCTTTGTTTAAAAAAAAATGCTCTGGGTTCTGGTGGAGGGCACAGAACTTCAAAGGCCATTCCCTCCATAGTCTGTGGAGGCAGCCACAGACCAGGGCCTTTATAAGAATCTCAAATTAGAACCCTGGTGGAACCATGTAAAATTGTTCCGTGCGGCATGTTCTGCTATTTAATTCAGTCCCTCTAGGTTGAGCTTGTCTCTCCCTTTATTACATGTGGCAACACCACAATTCCCCACTACTTCTTGTGATTTTTTTTTAAATGAAACGTTTCTGTCCCGGTTAACATCTTCTGAGAACTGAAACTGAATTCTGCACATCAGAAGCAGTTCATAAACAGCCCGAGCAGTATTACCAGCATAGCCCAAACCTCAAGATGTGCTTGTGCTGCTTCTATAAAAAAAATGAATATTTTTAAAATTCTCATTAAAGACATGCCTTTTCCCAGACAAATCTGGTTTTAGCCACATGAGGGCATCACATGCCCTTAAATGCACTCATGGTTTGTGCCTCTAGGCGGGTCTTAGCATCTCTTAACAAACCCTTGCATGGGAAATACTGACAGCTAGTTAAATCGGTTTATCGAGCCCCCTGTGCTCCATGCTGTGCCTTTAATTAATCCTGTTAATTCTCATGACAACCCTCCAAGGCGGGCATTATTTCAAACAAGGACGCTGGCTCAAGAGGGCTTGAGCCAAATGACCAAAGCCCTGGGAGCTCAGGTTCCGATCCCAGCTCTGCCATGATCTCTCCTCATGACCTTAGGCAGGTACTTAACCTCTCGGAGCCTTGGTTTCCCTTTCTGAAAAGTCAGGAGAATACCAGCTAAGTCATAGGATTGTTGTGAGGATTAAATGAATAATCCCAGGTATAGTGAAAACACAGCACCAGGCATGTAGTAAGTGCTCAGTAAATGTTAGCTATCATCCCCTTCATCGCCATGACCACCATCACCATCGTGGTCATCATCGTAATCGTCATCACCACCATCTTCATCATCATTATCACATCATCGTCACTATCATTGTCATCACAATCACCATCACCATCATGATCACCGTCATCATCATCATCACCTCCACCACTGGTACAGGGTGGATTCGAAGCTGCCCCCGAGACAGAGATTAGCACGCCGAGTGTTTATTTGGGGGTATTCCTGGGATCAGCACCTGGAGAAGGGGGTTAAGAAAGCAGGACCAGGCAGAGAGGGAAGAGACAGGGAGCAGTATGACCCCAACAAAGGTCTCAGTCAACCCCATGGGAACCTCTAAATCGGGTGGCCCCTCTGCGCTGTCCTGCCCCAGGCCCTCTATCACTTACAGCCTACAAAGTTTATCACACTACTGGGTTCAGGATTTCATCTTCTCACTTTTTTTCCAAATGAGATTTTCATTTCACAAGAAGAGAAGCTAAGGGCCATGCTTATCACTGAGGAATAAATCGCTGGAATTCCAGGCATCCATTGGGCTCACTGTCTGGGGGCAAAGCAGTTTGTGGGAGCGTGTCACACTGTCCCATTGGCCCTTCAGCACCAGAATCTTGCTCGCTTTCCCACAACTGCCGGGCCCCTGGGGACCATCTTCCATCACGGGGGCGCTCATCTACTCCAAACCCCAAAGGCTCTGGACAAGGCGATCTTGTCCCCTGCCAAAGCCCGTCTGGGCAGCCACCAGGATCTGCGTCCCCTCTTGGCCCTTCCCACCCTTTCTTCTTGCGAGCTGACACAGAGGCCGGTCCTGTCTGGCTGAGCTAACTAGCCCGCGGCCGGTCAGCGCAGGGCCTCTCTCATCTGTCCTCCTCACTTGGACAACCCGAGAGGGCCTGTTTGCAGGACTCAGTGAGATTGCATGGACAAAGTGCCCAGCCCAGCTGGGTGCACAGGAGGTGCTTACTAAATGCTCATTTGTCCACAGGACAGGGCAAGGAGTCAGGAGGGTGGCCGGCCCCTGCCTGACACTGAGCAACAGCTACCCATGGAACCTCTCTCTCTGGCCCTCAAGGCCTGACCTGATCCAGACTCTGCCCACCTCTGGCCTCACTCAGTCCCCTCCTGTCCCACCAGCCTCCCTGCTGTCCCCAGCGCAATCCCACCTCAGGGCCTTTGCACTTGCTGGTCCCCACTGCCTGGAGCCAGCTTCCCCCAAGCTTTGCAGAGCTGCGTCCTCCCTTCAGGCCTCACCTAAATGTCATCTCCCCAGACAGGATCCCCCCACCACCCTGGTACATAGAGACACACGCCTAGTCCCCATGTCACCACGTTGTGCATTTGCTTTGCAGCACACATCACTCTGGGTATATCTTGCTCAAGGGGAGACCGTGTCTGAGGAGTCACCACGAAATCTCTGGTGCCTGGAACAGTAACTGGACACACCAACAACGCAGGAGGCGTTCCTGAAAGTTCCTACCTTGCTACGAGTCCTCACTCTCAGTCAGGGGCCTGGAGAAAGCTCCAAGACAAAAACTCCATTCCTAACTCCCTGGGCAAATCTTTCTCCCTGTCCACATTTGCAGCTTCTCTGCAAAACGAGCAGATTGGATATGATGCACCCATACTCCCTTCCAGTGCAAACAAAAAGATTCCGCAGACTTGGATAACTTCTCATTTCAGCCAATAAACCAGCTCACGCCAGAACATGATTCATCCCTGCCGATTCTGCCTAGCAACCGGGCCTTCTCCCCACACCCCAAACCAACTCCCTCCCCAAGACGAATTCCTCCCCCACCACACTCCCGCCCAGCCCCCAGCGTCCTGCGGAGGAATGCGAGGCTCCGAGATCCCCTCCTCGCCTGTCTGCCAGCAGCATTTTAACCCAACCTCAGAACGTCTCCGGCGCTGTCTGGAACAACTGTGCCCCTCCTGGGATTAGTACAGGAAACAGCAGCAGAAGTCAGGCGGGCGAAAGCGCTGACCCAGCACGGGGAGATCATTTCTACCCTGATGCCTCGCCTTCCTCTGCGGCCAGGCTCCTTGGCCTCGCGCAGGCTCTGCATTTTAGGCAGGGAGCAGGAAGAGGCAGGGAACGTGTAAGAAAGGACGGGAGAGTCCATGCTTGAGACAAAACCAGCTTGTCCAGATAGCTTGGGATATTGTAATCCAGTTTCCCACAGTGGGGGGGCGGGGGGAAACACTGTATCATCACTTTAGTAGAGACTGGAAAGCATCTGATAAACTTCAATGCCCATGTGCGACTCAAAGCTTGGCAATCCAGGCAGAGAAGGAAATGTCCTTAACTTGGGAAAGGACACCTACCAGAACACGACAGCAAACGTCTTGCCCACTGGCCAAACTTCGGAGGCATTCCCATGAAGATCAGGGACAAGGCAAGGACGCTAACAACTACCGCCTTGATGACCACCGTGACCATGACCTCCACCTCTACCACCACCATTGCCACCACTGCTAGCACGCCATATTGAATCAGACGTTCTAGCGATTGCAGTAAGACACACACACACACACACACAAAACAAGTGAAGAGCATAGAAAGGAGGCGATGAAACAGTCCTTCCTGGAGGCTTCTGTCATCGACCTAGAGACCATTCTTGAATGAGCAATGGACAGAGTCAGGTGACCTGGGCTAGACACTGGCCTTGGCCATGACCTTTCTGGGCAACCTGGGAGTCTCAGTTTCTCCATCTAGAGCCTGAATGGC